ACCCCTAAACCCTATAAGCCCTAGGAAGTTAGGTTAATTTGCTTCGGTCCTCCAAGGGTTCGGCGGAAACCTGCAGGGCCAAAATCTGAGGCTTCCGGCTTCCGGTTTAGGCATAGGGCTTCAGCTTTTTCAAGCTTCAGGTTGAGGATTAGGGTTCTAGTCTAGGGTTTAGGGTTTTAGGGCTTTAGGGGTTGAGGATTAGGATTCTAGTCTAGGGTTTAGGGTTTTAGGGCTTTAGGGGTTTAGGGTTAAGGTTCTAGTCTAGGGTTTAGGGTGGCGTAGGGCTTCAGCTTTCAAGCTCCAGGTCGAGGATTTATGAGGATTTGAATATCGTATCTGGGGCTTATGGCCGCGAGTCGTTTTGACGTAGGGTATCCCAAACAGCCTATGCTAACCAAGAAGGCCTCTACAATAAAGCCCTCTTAGTAGCCGTTCTAGACCCCTTGAATTCAAAAGGAGCTCTGTAAGGAACCCTATTGAAACATATTCTAAGTATCTCTACTAACTAAGCGCTAACCCTCAACGAGATCTACCCTAGACTACCCTTTTCAGCACGTTCGTTTGGTGTATGCCGGCAAGCCCCTTTTGAAGCGAAGCTTGCCGGCCCTAAACAATAAACATACGGACGTTGTGGGCTCGAAAAAGCTTTGCGGTGCATATCACAGTACAGTAATCTGTTTTTCCTCGGAACTTTGGCTACAGGAGGGTTATACCCAAGGCTCCGATATCAAGTTGATGGTAACTCCTGGTAGCATGCCTGCTACTCATTCATGTTCTAGGGTTTTATAGAGCTCATCGTGTTACTCTGTGATAAGCCGCAGGTCCACAACCCCAAAATCCTGAACCCCAAACTTTTGCATCTTTCTGCCAAGGTGCGCCCCAGCTGGGCTCTCGATGGACAAGCTGCAACTCTCGTTGCAGGCGTCTTGCAGCAGACGAGGTGCTACCGGACATGGCTCTTCGCTCACTGTATACTGATTACTAACAGCATCAGAGTGTGTTCGGTTTTGAGGTTTCGGTGAATGTGTGTATGATCCAAAAGGGGTTCAAGTGATTTGTTGGCAGTTCGGTGGAAATTCGGAGAACAATAAGGGCCATTCGGAAGCGAGGGGCAGAACGATGCAGGTGAAGGCAGGAACGCATTGAGCCAAGATCCCAAACAAGTGTGCAGCTAGCTCTCTGCAAGATGGAACATGGGCTGGAAAGAGAAACTGAAAGGACAGCTTCGCCAAACATATAACCTTCGGAATCTGCATGTGCGTCGAGGCGGCTTCCCCAACATGAAACCTGCTCGAGCTCCCGGCTGTTCTTGCGAAGCTTTTTGGACATATCTTCCTCTTCCGGAAGGTAGCGCCTTGGAGCCGTAATCCATATTGAAAACCACAACTGTCTGGGATGTTGTTGAAGAAGGTAACTTAAGTCACTTCATCTACACACCCCTATCACTGCATTGCCAGAAACTCAATAGTGCCTCCGGGAAGACAAACCATGTTTGGATCATCACGGCCGTAACGACAGGCGCTGATGTTCCAGGGAATCAAGACCAGAGGCGAGGGCCCGAAGGTTCGTAGCTTTGAGGTTTCGAAACATCAAAATACGTGACCCAGGAAAGTGCCAGCCAGCTGCATCTCTGAGAGCAACATACTGTACCAGGAACCACCCGGACAACCCTAGTTCAAGCTCAACCTACATCGCAGTTCGAACCGTCATTGATTGAACTATGGGCCCTAGGCCCTAAACCCCTGAACAATACACCGTGATGGTCCGGATGTAAAGCTTACGGGGAAATCTCGTTGAGCCTTAATGCACCCGATTGCAAAGATTGCTCTCCCCTTCGCCAAGCCCAATGAAGGTCTATATTAAATATTGTAATGCACTATGTTGCGCTCTGTTATGTACTATACTATATTTCTATAGGTAAAATATACTAAGGATTACATATTGTGTATTCTCGGACTACCGATCAAATTATAGAATATGCTTATGTACCTGTAGCATATCAGCCACCAGGGTGCTGTAGCAACGCTATCTTCTGCTCTGAGGTCAGTGGTGCGGGCTCCTTGTCACGTCACATTGTGCTCATCAAGGTCTTTCATCGCTGCTGAAAATTTCGGGTTCAGGGTTGGGGGTTTAGGGCTTTAATTGGGGTTTAGCTCCTTCCCTGATGGCTTCTCAGACTGAGAACTCTTGCTTCTTCCGGCAGGTATTGCTGTTACTCTTCAGTTCCGGAACCCAAGTTGATCGGATATCTTGTCTGAGTGTTGTGCTGTTGAGAATCGGGACCCCCGGTCAGTATTGCAAGTTCCTTTTGAGAATTACCAGTGCCGCTCATGCGAATATGTAGCACACCCCTCTCAAGCCCTTCTTTCAAGCTGGGCTTTAGACCGATATACCCATGATCAGTTCCACCATCTGTCTGTGGTCGCAGAGGCAAGGTGACTCCTTAAACCCCACCCCCAACCCTCAAACCCTAAATTCTAAGCCCACAGCCCAAACCTCTAAGACCTCACCACCAATTCGAAAACCTATACTAAAACCCAAACCCCTAGCCCGCAGCCCCAAAACCGAAAACCCCAAGCCTTATGCCCAAAACCCTATAAACCCAAAGTCCTGAACCCCCCCCCCCAAAAGGCTCCTTTGCGGCTTCCGAGCGAATCAGATTCGCCTTTTCACCACCATGTCTCCCCAAATCCTCGGTAGGCTCAGGGCTCAGGGCTTAGTTCAGGATTCAGGGTTTCAGCGCTCACAAGAAGGCACAGCCAGGGTTACTCTTTGTTCCATACGGGGCTCTTTTTGGAGCTCCAGGGGAGCTTTACTAGGGGTTTAGCGATGCCCCGATCTTCGGTAAGCTTAGGGCTCCAGGATGAGACTCAGAATCGGGCTCCTTCAAGGCTTCCTTATATGGGCTATTCGGGATACCTGAAGAGGGTTCTCTGATTTTAGGGCCTTAGCCTTAGTCAATTAGCAAAAAAGTGTTTAAGGGGTGTGTTGCGCGGATCTTTATATGGGGACTGTGCGCGGGCATGGTTACTAAGGGTTTGGGATCTACCTTCCTAGATGTTGTAACGTCTTCAAGTTTAGGGTCTATTGCAGGGTTGCCCGCTTTCAAGTAGGTTGAGGGCCTAGAAGGTTTAGAGCTTTGCCGAAGCTTGTTTAGCTAGGAC